AAATTTATTCTCGGCTATCAACACTTAATTAGATTTTTTCAGCTGATTCCCAAACAAGGAACGATTCAAGATAATAATTTTCTGACTCTTCAGTCTTGATGATAAAAAAAAAAGTCAACAAGAGTTGTCAGGATCAAGAATCTCCCTCAAAACCCAGAAATGAAAACAAACAATCGTTTTCCTTGGGCTATATATTCGAGTCTCAAAGCTCGAAGAAAATGTTTGATCAATGAAACAGAGCAAGCATTAAGAGACCCAAAGTTCTGATTTCAAATGAAAGCTTAATTCTCGTCAGGGAAAAAATATGTCACTTTTCTTTCGCTTCCTCTCCGAGAAAATGTAAAACCAATATGATTTTCCCAGATAAATGTTGGGTTTTTGAATCTTTTTTTTTCTTTTCTCTCTCGTCTTTTTTGCTTGCACGGGAGAGAAAGAGAAAATTAAGAAGTGAAGGCTGAGACAGTGAGAGACGACTGCAGACAAGCGAAGCGTAGATTACCATGGGTTCAGCTGACCCAGAAAATGGAAAATTTACTCTCTATACAATAATTTATGCAAGTATTCAATTTGATCCCACAATTTATTTCTAATATATATAATAATAATAATTTATATTAAAATAAATTAATATCTTTTCGCCCAATAAACATTGAACTACCTATATTTTTACACATCGTAATTATAGCTTAAGTATTTAAATTTACTTTAAAATTTATTTTTAACGTTAACAATTTGTGTTATATAAACGTTTTACATTTGTGATATCATAATGTTTTAAAAACATCAATTAAAGGGTAAATTATATCATCTTTATTTTTGTCATAGATAATTTAATTTTATAATATATGTTCAAATACTCTATGAACAATCATATTCCTAATATTAAATACGATAAAAAAATCGTCAGTTTCTAATTTTTCTTATTCCTGTAAATAGGAATGGACATGAGTCGGATTGGATCAATTTTCGACCAAACCAACCCAAAAATTTTATACTTCCACTCGAAACTTAATTCGATATGAGTTTAGAGTAATTCCACCTGACCTGAAATCCGACCTAACTTTTGAGATAAAACCCGACTCCGACCTGACCAAAAATAATATAAAATTATTAATTTTATTTAATAAATAGGGACTTCATTGAAAATAATATAAAGAAGGATATTATTATAATTATCCTTAAATATATATAAGGTATTTTATATTATTTTCAGGTCGGATTGGATCGAATTTTTTCATCCTAAATCTGACCCGAATATGATTTCTTTTTAAAATCCGACCCGATCGGATCAAATCAAACCCATCGAATTCGGATCCACCCCTCCCTACCTGTAAACTAAGGCCTTGACCCTTCAAAAATGGCAAAAACAAAGTTTAATCTCTTTAAAAGTTATAGAATTATAAATTAATCCAATAATAAAATTACATTTTGGTATTCAAATTTAAAATTAATCTTTAATCTTTAAAACAACAACCAGTGATACGATGACCTAGTAAACAGCCAGTTAGTTCATTATTCTAAATATGTATAAATGTAATCCTAGTTATTGCCTTCTAAGGCAACAGTTAAATCCCAGCTTTCAACCCATCTTTCTGCCGTCGGCCGGATCGGAACATCGTTGATGGTGCGCTTGTAATGACCGAACCACTTGGACTGCATGTAGCCGCTTCGCCGCCACGGCGGCAAGTGCATGTCCTCGGCTTTCATGGATTCCCTCATCGCTTTGCACATTAGCTTCACGATCTGCTTCAGCTCTTCGGGTTTGCCGACGAAGACCGGCGGGATAAGTCGGAGCAATGAGGAGTAACTGGTCGTCGGTCGAGCTATTTCGAACTGAGCCGCGAGATTCACTTCCACAATGTAACGAGAACCATTGGTGTACAGTACATCTACGTATTCGTAGGCACCGGAGAGTAGTTCCGACCAAGTTTATCCCGCTGGGTTTTGCACAAACCGGCATCGAAGCCCCTGTCGCGCAGGTGAGACATCAACCGCCGCTTGAAATCATCAGATAACCCGAACCCTATCGACGTCTCACATGCATGTTCCGTCTCTTTCTTGACCATCTTCTTCACGTCTTCCTCTTGGTCGTACTGCAGCAAACCCAGCAACGTAGTACTTACCGTTTCGGAATCCGACCAGTCACCATCGTCGCGCTCTAGACAAAACGTCGTCGCTTCATCGGTTCCGACGTCGAAACCACCACCGCCGCCACTCTCGAAGAACGAATTCACGAGATCCGACAGGTCGGTCGGATCCTCCGGCGAGTGCTCGCTGCCGCTGGTCTCGTACAGCAGTGCTGCTTCGTTGAAAGCCGCAGCTATCTTATTCATCTTCGACATTGATCTTTGAGAATTGGAATTTTGGGTCATCTTAATTTATTTATAGTAAAAGAGAGAATTAAAATTCATATGATATGTAAAAGTAAAAAGGTATATATAATTACAACCTAATGTCAGCGCACAGTCAGTCGAGATATTCCCCGAAGATACAGGGAGAATATTAGGACAACTTTTTCCGTACTTATCTCGTATAGCCTGTAAGAATTTTGGTAAATGACGAGTTTTGCTTTAAATACGGTCTAGTTAATTGAGTGAAGGGTAAACTATGTAGATAGCCATCTATGCTTTCGGTCTTATCAACTTTGCTCATTAATTTAAAAATTAAGGGAGAATGGTCCTAATGTTATCGATCCGTTCGATTGTAGTCTCTCACAAATGTTAGGGACTTAAACAAAAGGGTGTTAACGAAAATTAATGGCCGAGGGACTAAATCGAACTGATCAATAACATTAAGGGTCATTTTTCCTTATTTTTTAAGTTAGTGACAAAAGTTGGTCAGACCCAAAACATAAGGGACCATCCACATAGTTTATCCTTGAGTGAAAGAGTAAAACAAAGAGTAAATTACATCTTTAGTACCTAAACTATCAATTTTGATCCGTTATAGTACCTAAACTTTCGATTTTTTCAAAATCATACATAAAGTTTAGTTTTTGTTTCATTATAGTATCCGCCGTTAAAAACTTTAGTTTTTGTTTCATTTTAGTATCTCGTTCAAATTTTACATTCAATTTTTAAAAAATTGAAAGTTTAGGTACTAAAACGTGCCAAAATTGATAATTTAAGTACTAAAAGCGTTAAGTTTTTAACGATAAGATACAAAAATGAAAACAAAACGTCAGGTATGTTTTGAAAAAGTTTGAAGTTTAAGTACTAAAATAGACTAAAACTGATAGTTTAGGTATTAAATGCGTAGTTTACCCTAAAATAAATTGCCACATCATTAGTATATATTGTTTCCATTTTAATTAAATTGCATAATTATTTTTTATAATAATTAAATTCATTAATTATTGATTATAGAGTTGTGATTACTTTACTATTACTAAGTTTATTCTTTAACATTCAACTAGTGGTAGAATATTTCGTTAAAAATAGATGTTTAATATTTTTCGTTATACTTTTAGGCGTCTATCATTAAAAAAATTGTTAAGTAAAATGAAACTCATATCAACTGAAGTAAATAAAGAAAATTTCTTTATATAATTATCGAATATTATAGATTAACAAAATATAACGTAATGTCATCATCCTCCAGGACGGACACAATTTTTTATGTTGAGATTGAACTTATAAAATTTCAAGAGATAAACAAATTTTTAATAAAAAATATATAAAAAATTAAAATACATGATAATTTAAAATTTTTAAAGACGACCCGTCTAGGTAAACCTCTGCCATCAGGAGTCATTTTCAGAGAAAATCATGGGAGATTAGTAAGTTAATTATTTGTTACAGACTGTACAAATGGTAAAGCCTTGATGTGCAAGTATTTGTTGAATTAATGAATCTGTAATCTTCTTTTTCTTTAAATGGAAACTGATATTTCTACCTAGTTTTTGTAATTATATATCTCAATAACAGAATTAACTGTATTGGGATAGGCCGGGCGTTTGTGATAAGCGCCATGCAAGTATCAAGTAGCTCGCGAGCTTTTCAAGTCGAGTATCAAGTATCTCGTTAAGAATTCGAGTTCGAGATGAGTTCATTCGATTCAAGTTTTGACCGAGTCAATCTTGAATAACTCATGATCTGTCTCGTCTCATTCACAACCCTAAAAATAGATGGAGATATGCAACAACAACTAATTTCTGTTGTATCAACTTCTGACATAATAATCATTACCAGTATAATCTGTAAAACAATTTAAAGAACAAATGAGAATTCAATTAGATATAATATGTTGCATTTGGCTGGTCTCATAATCCATTAGAAACTGATTGTCCATGCAGACCTCATATTCATATGAGCAAGACATGATTCATAACCATGTGTGCATGAGTGCATTGTATTTCTCTAATGTTTGGATTACGTTGCTCGAACTCAGATGTGATTGTCAAATATATTTGACATGTGAATAAGACGAATTTAGGAGAGGCGAACTTGAACGTATAAAATTTAAAATATATCATATATTTTAAACCAAAATATATGATAATTTTAAATTTTCATGAGGGCTTGCATGTCATATCCGTCTAACATGGATGTATGATATGAGTACTTCAAGGAAAATGAAGAGTCGGAGAAACATAAAGCATCTATGTGAAGAAGACACTCAGATGAGTAAGGCGTACATCAAATCCAACCACATAAACCACCTGCAGCAGAGAGCTGGGCAGTAAAAGGGAAAAGGATCTGCCAGATTGTTTCCTCATGGTCTTCCATTTAACCACTTGATTGAACACTTTGTTCATTAAAAAGTAATGTTCAACAATCTTTACAAAGCAATAATACAACTATTTAGATTCAAGAAAATATTGGTCAGATTTGCCTTCTTAAGAAGAATGAGACGAGTTTTTATCGAGACATGAGACAAATTATATCATTTCCCATACCTGAGCTTTTGTGTTTGTTGTAAATCTTGTACAAACTCGCATCTGCAAAATGGATAACAGATGAAAGATAGGAGACTACACCTGGTGAAGTAAAAGTACAACTATGAGTCTCGCTTACCGACTGCATTAAATTCTTGACTCCGAAAAATTAAATAACCACAGTGGCAGGAAAAGAAGGAATGATCAAGTTAGCACCTTTCAGGAATGGAACATTACTAGTGATGTTGAAGGCATTTTGTTCACATTGGAAAACCGACAGGAAACATCGAGTACCAATGCACGGTCTGCTTGAACAAAGTCACAAGCCTGTGATAGTAGAAACTATTACAGCAGAAGAACCAACGGAGGGAAAATATTAGGAGCTTAAGAATGGAGCCATTTATCTATAACAACCTAGCTCTTCCATTTCCTTCATAATTGTCTGTAATGTAACTCTAATCTCTTCTGAATCCTTATGAGATTGATCTCCTGAGAGAAACAAATGAACTTTGTCCTTAACCATCAACCAACTACACCCAGGGCTCTTCTGTATCCTTTTGGATTTCTTGTCCGTTCTTACTTTGTCTTCCTCTTTCTTCTTTCCCAGGATGGTATATAATTTGGACAAAACAACATAAGGAGTTGCACTATCGGGCTCCAACTTAATAAGCTGCTGAGCTGCAAGCTTGGCAAGACCGACATGGAGATGAGTCATGCTTGCACCCAAGAGGGCTCCCCAAACTCCAGTATGGGGATCAAAGGGCATTGAATAGATTAAATCAAGTGCTTCGTCAAACAACCCAGCTCGGCCAAGGAGATCAACCATGCAAGAAAAATGGTCAGGCCCAGGTTCTATGTTATATAAAGATTTCATGGATTTGAAGAGTTCCCATCCTACTTCTACGAACCCAACATGGGTGCAGGCAGACAAAACGGCTAGAAAGGTTATAGGATTTGGCTCCTGGCCTTCACTCTGCATTTTCCCAAACAATTTAAGCGCTTCTTGACCAAATCCATTCTGAGCAAAGCCGGCAATCATTGTATTAAAAGAAACAACATTCGGTTCTTTAATGCTCATAAAGACTTGACAGGCATCGGCTACATTTCCACATTTGGAGTACATCGAGATAAGTGAATTTTGAATTGACAAATCGAATTCCAAACGCATCTTGATTGCTTGTGCATGGAGCTGCTGCCCGTTGCTTAGTATTGCTGAATTGGCTGACGCACTCAACAAACTGCTCAAAGTAAGAGAATTTGGCTTTACTGATTTCTGAAGCATAGCAGTGAACCAGCGAAAAGCCTCCTCGTACATCTCATTGCTGACAAACCCTGAAATTACTACAGTCCAAGCAACATCATCTTTCTCGGGCATCATTCTAAACAACTCAACAGCTTTATCAGTTTGTCCTTCACCAAAAAAACCCATAATCATGGTAGTCCAAGAAACTACATCCTTTCTAGGCATCTTTTCAAAAAGTTCATAAGCTTTCTCTGTCTCATTCTCTTGTACATAACCCATGATCAAAGAATTCCAAGAAACCAAATCTTTCCTTGTCATCATGCCAAATACCAAATTAGCAGCATCAATACAACCAAACCTACAATACATAGTAATAATAGAATTTCCTAGAAAAACACAAAATTCGAATCCCGACCTTAAAACCAATCCATGCATTTGAATACCTTCTCTATATCTATCAAAATGTCCACAGGCTTCAAACATGATAGTCATGGTAGTAGAATTAACCAAAACTCCTTTTTCTTTTCTCATCCTTGAAAACAAACAAAAACCATCAATTAAATATCCCATTTTTAGGTATCCATTAATCATTGTTGTCCAAGTGACTACATTTCTCTCCACCATGTCGTCAAACAACTTTCTAGCCTCCACAATTTTCCCACTCTTGCAATACCCATCAACCATTAGGCTCAAAGAAACAACATCTCTCCGAACCATACCTTTGAAAACACCAACTGCCATATCCAATTTCCCAACTTTCAAATACCCATTTATCAATACATTTGAACAAACCGGTTCCCTCCATTTCCCAGGAGTAATTTCATAAATTTCCAAGGCTTTATCAAACCTTCCTTTACTAACAAACCCGGTGATCATTGTGGCGTAAGTCACTGCATCTCGTTCAGACATGTTGAAGAAAAGTTCATAAGCTTCATGTAACATACCGCCATTCTTATTATAAGCTGTGATCATCGCATTATACGAAGAAGTTGTTCTTTCCGGCATTTTGTCGAACATCTCACGGGCTTTCGAGATGTTCCCATTTTCTGCATAAGCTGTCAGCATGGCAGTCCAAGATACAGTACTTTTGAACGGCATGCCGTTGAAGATCGATTCGGCTTCTTTGATATTCCTATTTCTTCCATGTTGAGTGATCTGGGTATTGCAATAAACAATAAATTTGGAATTTTTGCAGCGGATTTTTGCAGAGTTGGGGATGATGCTATCCTTTGTGGAAGTGTGCAGGGAAGATATTGAAAATTTGAGGGAAAACAGAAAGTGGTTAAGTGAAGATTTTGGCTTTGTTAGCATTGCTGAGGAATGGAGTCCATTACTCAACATGAATTTCGATGTTGATAAAATTTTAAACAAATCCAATCAACACTTAAGCGCCTTTACATATTATGTTTTTTTTTAATATATGGGACAAATATAAAACAATTATCAATTTAAAGGTAACTCTCATTTATTTTATAGATAATGAATATTTATATACATTGTACTCGAATCTAAAATCTCAAAGAATAACAATAAATCCTTTAGTCACTGAAATCGTTTAATTTGTGCTTCCATTTTATGTTTAAATACGGTACTCAAGGCCCTCAAATTTTAAAAAAATGGTATGGAATAATTGCACGGTAATATTTATTCAGAATTTTCTTTATCTATCGACATGCACGTACACCCTACAAATACAATCATTTAAATTCGGAACCTCTATGAAGAATAACACTTCTTTTTACCGATGAGAACACTCAATAGGCTCACACCAAATCATGCAAGCAATATGCAACGCATGCTTTGGTCAGAACTTTCCAAATTCTTGTCATGACAGGTTTTCAGTAAGAACTTTTGTAACAAGAGTTGCCTCAAAATGCATATATGCTTCTAAGTCGCCCAACAAAATAGAAAGAAAGGTTCACACCTACATCTGATTAGATATTAGAATATCAAGTTGCAGCATATGACAATTCAATTAGCCGAAAAGAATAAGTTGAAGCAACCGAAATGGAAATCAAAATCCTGTCCCCAAGAATTAAAATGATCAAAGCTTTTTTCTAACACCGGGTTTTTTAACTGGATTTTTTAACCTTGGATGACGGGCTTGAGGCTTCCTTGAATGCAGAGGGGCAAAACTCAGTAATGCTGCAGGAATCACAGCGTGGCCTGAGTGGAGTACAAATCGTCCGTCCAAATCCCACCTGTTCAAACTCAAATTTAGTCATAAAAGCATTCGGTTGTTCGGCCTTAGTTGCATAAATTCAGGGGTTGGCGATAAGATCGTATGAAATACATTACCGAAAGGAACTGCAGTAGTAGTTATCACAAGTTATATAAAAATTGGAAAATTTACGAAAACAAGGATGTTTAAGGCAGTAACCATGAAGGTGAGACGTATACCAATGAATGTAGCATGTACGAAGCCATTCATAGATAAGATAAATTTAACCCTATGCATGCATCTAGTTCTATAAGAGTGCACATTTATGTTTGAAATTACACTTGGAAGTTGTACGAAAATATTTGTTTGGAAGTGGTGATTAAAAAAAACGTGGAAAGGAGGAACAAACATCATTTTGCTACTTTGAAGTCAAATTACTGTCAAGAAGTCATATCTCCATAGGCTTTACATCCACTACGTTAACTGAGTTGAGTAAAATATTTACGGATATCTTCCAATTGGGTTATTTTCCTAAAATCTTTATTCAAATATGACATCGATGCACTTATCCAAATAATTACAGGAATTAAATCCATTTCATCTATCTTCAGACGCTGAAACGTATTTGAAGTTCCAAATTTCGGTGTTATCTACAATCCTGATTAAATTCAGATAGATATCCAAATTGAGCACTTCTAATGCTAAAAATATATTACAATTAATCGAAGTAAGGAAAGAACAATGTCAAGAGTAGATAAAAGATGAAAGAACTAAACATAAAACATCCAACTTCTTGCCATCATCAATGTATAAGATGGAGGTTACCTGTTTTGTCCCAGGTCGAGACACCCATCCAAGCCGATTGGAAATGCGATGCACATGAGTATCTCTACACATATCCCTTGAACATCATTCCACGCAATATTCATAACCTAAAGCACCACTCAAACGACAGTAAAAATCCAGTGTACATATAATCGAGAAAAGGTACGCAATTACCCTACCAAATGAGCCATCTTTGGGCCTATCCCTGGAAGTATGAGTAATTCCTCCAATGTCCTTGGAATGTCCCCATCATACTTCATAAGACGGATTTTTGCGATTTTCTTCGTATTAGTAGCTTTCCTTGCATAAAACCCGACCTAAAACAAAGAAAATGGAATTTCATAACTCTTACAGTAGCCGAGAAAGATGCAGGGGGGAAGGGGAGAGAGAAAAGAATAGAGTAGGGAATAGGATAAAGTTACAGCTTACAGGCAAAAAAACTTCTACACCTCGTCTGGACTAGCACACAGAAGCCAAAAGAAAAACTATTGATACCTAGTTTTTTAAGTGAATTCTAGGATGACATACCGGGTAGATCAAGTTCTTGATAGTTTCTTCATCGGCTTTGTCAATAGCATCAGGAGTCCGAAGACAATTCTGACCTAAACGATGAATTGCTCCTGCACGTAGAGCATCATTATTAAAATGTTAAGAACATAATCAACAAAGTCATGGTATACATATGAATATATCAGAAAATATGAGACCTATAGAAAGTTCCAATGGTGATAGAATCAAATAACATGCTATCATTTACATCTCATACGTTGCACAGATATTCCTTGCCTAAATCTTTACGGCAAAATTTAAGAGTGGCAGTGGCCTGATTCAAAGCTATATTTTGTAAGGGGAGGGGGAAGGGTTGCCCAGGACCTATCCTGAACTAGAACTTCATTCAATGAAAGTTCTTTGCCATTGAATCGCAGGTTTGATTGATGATTCAAAACCATTTGTAGTCATTCATGACCATTACCAGTACATGCTCATGTTCCAAGTCTAAGGTTCACGAGAAGAAAAAAAAACGTTTTTTTTCTTCATACAATAATACCCTTCTCATTGATCTTGAAAATTGTAGTATTGTCAATGTAGAGCTTATCTTCGTCATATCAAACTCGCACCAATTCAGAAAAGGAGTCCTTATCACATAACATATATCTATATATGGCACATTCTTATAAATTTATCTCGTAACATTGACCTTTATTTTCTTTGAAAGCCTGCGATCAGAATACTTGTGCCCTGTCTTGACTTCTATCACGTTCGCATTGATACTATTGGTTTTCTTGTACAGACTAGTTCTAAACAACCTGCACATTTAATCCTACATACGAGGCGAAGCTTTATCTTGCAAATTCTACAGCACTCAAGTTGATTCATGTGAATAGATATGTTTCACATTTGGTATACCACAAATATGGGATTACGCTTTCCATTTTCTTCAACATAATTCACAAGTAGCTTATTTTGAGAATTAATTTCTCATTCACCGTTCAACCATTTTAAACATATGGTATACCATTATAAAACTCTCATCGAATAGAATATAAAATCGTAATTTTATGATTCAAACTTCCACCTCTGCCCATTAAAGATATATCTCAAAGTTTCTAAAAATCCCAACCAAGAAGCCCAAAATGGGATTAACGTCCAACTCTTGCTAAACCCCACCTCTTCTCAGCCCAAGTCCAGCAATTTCTTTTGGTTTTTTCAAGCGATGATTTGACTATATTAAATGACTTTGTCAAAAGAGAGTGAAAATATAATATACTCACTTTTTATTAGGGTATTACACATTTAGCAATTATATTATTAGTTTTAGTCTATTTTATTATTTAAATTTTTTATTTTTTAAAATCATACGCAAAGTTTAGTTTTTGTTTCATTTAGTATCATGTTCAAAATTTAACGTTAAATTTTGAAGGAAAAAAATGAAAGTTTAAGTACTAAAACGGATCAAAACTAATAATTTAGGTACTAAACGCGTTAAGTTTTTAATGATGGGGGTATTAAAATGAAACAAAAACTAAATGTTAAGTATAATTATGAAAAAAACTAAAAGTTTAGGTATTAAAATAAACTAAAACTAACAGTTTAGGTACTAAATTTGTAGTTTACCCTTTTGTTTAACCAAGGTTTCTTTCACTTGACTATTTTGGTAAAAGTTTTTAACGAGACAATTATATTGCATTGCATTGCATTGCATTGCATTGCATTGCATTGTTATAGAGTTTGTATCTTACTTATTTTTTAGGGTTTAATGAAATTTTGGGTAAATTACATTTTTATTATATAAATTATTAATTTTGATATGTTTTAATATCTAAATTTTTAATTTTTAAAATCATATATGACGTTTAGTTTTATTTCATTTAAGTACCCATTAAAAACTTAGCTTTAAGTTTTGAAAAAAATAAAAGTTTAGATACTAAAATTGATCAAAATTGATAATTTAAATACTAAATGTGCAGTTTATTCTAAATTATTTTATCATGATACATAATATACTATAGATATAAAAAATTCTATAAATAATATAAATTATTATAGATATTCATAATATTAAAAGGAGATAAATCATTACTTTCCTCAAATTTATATTGCTTATTAATTATTTATCATTTTTATTAATTTATCTTTGATTTTATAAGCATTATTTATTATAATCACAATTAACTTGCATTTATCTTAATTATTCATTTTTAATACAAAATAAGTTAATTATTCATTTAATTGTTAATTAAAGATACATGATGATAATGATTTAAAGCCGTTTGTGGAGAGGAAGAATTCCCCACAATCATTGCGTCGATAATGTTTTTATCTGTCTTTGACCTTTTTTTTTTCTTTTTTATTGGTTGTTTGACTTATTTTTTTAATTTTTTTATGTTAGATTTGATATTATTTTATTGATCAAGATGACATTTATTTATTATTTTTTCTGTTTTAGACTCTCAAATTAGACTTGAATATGTGGTTTGCGTTTGAAGATAAATTTTTCACGAAGCTCAACTCTAATTTGCATCTATGGGTGATCTTTCAGTGGTTTTGATCCTCTATTCTGATCTATTTTTCGATACAAACAGATATGTTCATATCTATCTTTTGTTCGAATTTTTTGAATGAATTTTTAATATTTTCGTTGTATAATCCGTGTATGATCTCAAGTGGCTTTTTTTTAGGCTAATTGTTATAGGGTAAGATTTTATTTTGGTATCTAAACTTTATTTATTTTTAAATAATATATAAAGTTTAGTTTAGGTTTTATTTTTGTACCCCATCATTAAAAATTTAATAGTGATGTTGTTGTATAACTATAAGGCAATGTCATGTCATTATTAAAAAAATGTCATATAAGCATCTATGTTAATTTTTTAATGACGAGATACCAAATTGAAACATAAT